CGCAGAAAGTCGATGAACAAACGAACTGGGTGAGTCAGGTTGTGGTGGTGAAGAAAAAGTGTGGAGAATTGAAAACATGTATCGATTTGAAACCATTAAACAAGGCAATAAGACGAAAGCACTTCACCCTACCCATTTTTGACGATATACTGCCGGAATCAGCTAATGCAAGATACTTCACGAAGGCGGATTTAGCCTCTGCGTTTTGGCATTTAGAGCTGGACGATAGATCAAGTTACTTGACCACTTTTGGCACGCTACTCGGGCCATATCGTTAAAAACGACTGCCGTTCGGTTTGAAAGTATCAAGTAAAATTTTTCATAAACGGATCCTCCAAGCGGTAGATGATTTACTCGGTGTATTGTGCGTGGCGGACGACATTCTAATTTTTGGTAAAAATGCAAATGAACACAACAGAGGGCTTAAAGGCTTTTTACAGCGTTGTATATGAGACGGAATCAAGCTGAAACAGGACAAGCTAATCTTTTGTCAATCGGAAGTCAGCTTTCACGGTCACGTACTTACAAGTGCAGGGATCAAACCGGATCCGGAAAAGGTAAAAGCGATTGTAGAAATGCATTCTCCAACCGATGCGAGAGACGTATTACGATTCAACGGAATGATAAACTATCTCAGTAGATTTCTTCCAGAATTAGCGGAATTGATGCGGCTCCTATTCGACGTTTGACGCATAAAGGAGAACCGTGGTTTTGGACACAAAAATAACAGGCGGCTTTTGATTGCGTCAAGCAACTTATTGTAAAAGCCCCAGTGCTGGCTTGCTTCGATCCCAATGTACCTTTCTGCATGCAGTGTGACAGTAGTCAATTTGGCTTAGGTGCTGTGCTCCTTCAAAATGGCCGTCCATCAGAGTACCGGAATAGGACACTAACGGCCTATGACCAAAGGTACTCCCAGATCGAGAAAGAAATGCTAGCAATTGTGTATGCGATGGGGAAGTTCAATGATTATACATTTGGTCGACTCACGCATACATCCTCAGATCACAAACCACTGATCATGATTGTGGATAAGCCACTCCACAGAGCACCAAGGCCGTTACAATCGATGCTAATACGTCTACAGAGATACAATTATGAGCTGCATTACGAACAAGGTAAACGGATGTTTGTGGCGGACACATTGTCACGAGCCACACTGTCCGACACAGGACAGGACCAAAAGCTGGAATCCGTGAACGGTAACGCAGTTTGAGATGTCTCACATAAGAACTGCAACTATTGGCGATCCGAGCATCCAAGAACTCAAAGGAGTTATCACTCGTGGTTAGCTAGAAAGCAAAAACGCCCTTCCGATGGACGTACTGCCCTACTTCAAATTCCGAGATGAACTAACTGTGCATGATGAACTGATTTTTCGTGGTTAAAGGTTGGCCGTGCCAAAAGCGATTCAACAAAACGTAATGCGCTTGATAAATTGCTCTCACGCCGGTTCCAACGGGTGCCTCAGTCGCGCCAGGGAGACATTATTGGTCGGGTATGTCAGAACAGATAAAACAGTTGATTACTAAATGTGAAATTTGCAAGAAGTTTGATCAGCGATAATCGAAGGAACCGATGAATATGCGTGCAATACCAGAGAGACCGTGGCAGATGGTGGCACTGGATATTTTTTATCACGGAAAAGACACTTGATAACTGTTAATTATTATAGTGACTTTTTCGAAGTTGATTTACTGCGATGCGGCACACCGGCGGAGATCATTGATAAATTGCGCGTTCATTTCGCACGACACGGAGTACTACTTCAGGTGATTTCCGATGGTGGCCCCCAATTTTCTAGTACCGAATTCCTAAAATTCAGTGAACAATGGCGTTTTGAGCACCACGTTACTAGCCCCTATCATAGTAAGTCCAATAGCAAAACAGAAAGCGCAGTCAAACAGGCAAAGAAGCTTATCGAAAAATGCGGTGCGGATGGTAGCGACCCACCAATGGCTCTGCTAGAGTTACGGAACATATCGTCGGCTAATATGGGAACCAGCCGAAGCCAACGTTTATTTGGCAGACGCACACGCACGGTTCTACCCATTTGCGACCAGTTACTACAGCCATAGACTACGCCATCAATAATCATACAGTCAAAGCAAAGGAAACGCATGGTGCTACAGAAGAGGTATTGCGACTGCGGCAGTAAACCTCTGTGCTTACTCAGATCAGGAGACACGGTTTGGATACAACCACTGGAGCCAACGGAGGTGTGGGCGAAGGGAGAAGTGATGGCGCGGAGAGCAAAAAAAATCGTACTTAGTACGCTGTGGTGAACGGATAATACGGAAAAATTCATTTGAGGAAAGGGGAAGAGAATGGTGACGAATACGAAGAAAGAGACGATCCAAATACCGTTCAGGAGGAGGTAGAAATCTGTGTACAAGAACCGCAGCAAGGAATACCAACGACGGGTATGACAGCACAATCTCCATCTCGAACACGAAGTGGACGAATATACCAATCAGGATCATAATGAAAACCTTTCAAAAGAAGAAGGATGTGTTGGAAAGTGTTATTTAAATTGATTGTTTGTTTTACTGCGTCAATTGTGTTTTTATGAGTGGTCCGTATAAGACTTTAATTTTGCAGACAGAACAATCTGATTAGTCCAGGTTTATATGTAAACGCCTGTGATTCCCTCCAAAATGTGATTCGTGTCCAGTGGACTGGAGAAAATATATCGAGAGCATTTTCTGAGGAACTAACTTTTGACAGACCTCAATAGGGATTTACCAATTTCGATCGTAAAGCATTTGAAACCTCTATTTCATTGAAGCTGCCTTAGCCTGTAAGGTTATAAACAAATACGAAGTCAATGACCAAATGCTACCTTCTGTGTTTATGAATAAGAATGACCAAAGCAGTATGGGTTTATTCGTCCGCATATTCATGGAACTGCAACCGCGGATCATGCCCCATTATTTTTGTTATTATCAAACTCGGTTCATGTTGATTGCATGATACTCGGTTCTATTTGGCTTATATTCACTTGGCCATCCGAACTAATATTATTTCTCAGTTTGGTCCCCATGTGAGTTGTTATTGAAAATGATTTTTCATTTCTGAGGAGTTTGTTAGCATAATAAGATACAATGCACATTTTAGTACAGTCTGAGTTGGAACAAGTGCAAGGTAGAAACAGTTTCATAATGATCAAAGTTTAATCACTTTTTTAATGTATTTCAAAAAATGAGCAGCTCTGTACTAAGAATGGTACGACGTTGTCTTAGAAGAGTTTCAGATACCTTTAATGTACGGCTATTTCAGAGAATTCAGGTGAATGTACTAACATTTGCATACTTGTTACAACCTTAACCAACTCACCACTTCTTCTCCCTTCCCCCCATCCACCCGATTTCTCTCTCTCTCTCTCTCTGCATACCTTTTACCAAAGGAACGTACAAAAATGTTGCTTAGCAAAACTCTGGTGGAATTGTTTCATCAAGCGATCAAGTTTCGTGTCAGTATCCCGGATGAAAACATCATCAAACTTCTCCAGGTGCCCGGAAACAGTTTTTGTCCGTTAGACAGCAGTAGTTGTATTTTTTGTCGAATCTCGTGTTAGAATACCCTTGGTTGAGTTTTGCTGCAAACATGCTTCCGTGCTCCCAGAGCAGTAAGTAGGTTAGTCGACCATAATCAGCAAGCAAGCTGATTTTCGATGACTTGGGTTAGATGAAACACATGTTGTTGGGATTGGTCAGTCATGCTGATCAGTTTCTTCGGCGTTTTCGTGGGTAGATCATTTAGTATAGGAGAATCGTAGTTGCTGCACAGGACCATATATCGATTTAGATGTATTGATTACATAAAATGTTAATGATTCCAGAGACAGGCATTAGCTAGTCAAAATGCAATCGCTTCTGTCACGGATACAATGCTGTTTCGACAATCTTCTTGTTACAGACCTAGCAGGCATAGCCTGCCAATGCTACCAATTTGTAGAACACCGTATGAGGTCGATTCCGGGTGTTGTTACAAATTACCACAAGCGAACGCTCTTCGAGGTGTCCATTCATCTATCATACCAGTGACCAATCACAGACACTACCGATACAAAGGTACGGGACATTTCGGTTCTCTCTCTGTGGAAGGCGGGAGGGGGGGGGAGAGAGAATCTCCAGACCGAATCTGTAAGACAGGAACAATAGAAAACAACCACGAATCAAAAGATTCACTGAGGCGTACCAACACTCTCAATCCATAATGGTGACTATGTGCTCATTGTACCTACACTTTCTTTGACCAGTCGGATTTATTTATCCACTTTGAATGTGAAGCCGAAACTAGTATCATTTTTACTTTTTCTTTGTGTCCTTTGGCATTGTTTGATCGGCCACGACCCCCTCCTGACGACTGAAAGTTTATATGTCTGTTTGATAGAACGAAATGGGAAATTGTATCATTTTTATTATTATATTGGAGTTTCCCCAAGAAAAAGGTTGATTACATTTACTCTGGAATCAAACTGGGACTTGGCGAACTTTCTGTTTATTGATAGGCTTGGCAGTTGACGACTGAGAATGCCAAAATTGACAAATGCGGTCACATTTAACCCCTCAGTGACTACGAGCGTTTGGATAACAAGAAAAAGTTTACATGGATGCCCAATCGAAGCAATTAAATTTTCGATAGCTCGGAGCTTACCTGAACCAAATCTAGTCATGTAAGAAAAATTTTGCCGCAACTGTTGAATTAAAAGTAACAGACCACATATATTGTTAAGGCACCGACATAGTTTAACCTTCAAACGAGTTTATATTAATTATGGCGTAAAAGTAAACAATACGTAGAATTCTTCACAGTGTTTGGTATCGATAACGGTGAGTCCCCCCCCTCCGATTTTGTGAATTATAACTAACTCTGTTGTTACCTCGGGTGTTCAAAGTCGCTTGGATTTTTTACACTACCAAACGAGATTCCCACCGCGTTCGACCCGGACGCTCATGTACCTTTTTGTTTCCGCTGGTTCACTGCAGTTCATCCTGATGGATGCTGGTGGCACCATTGAGCCAAATCAAGTGGTCGAAGGCTTGACCACACTGTTCAATCCGCAAACGTATCATCTTTTCTCCACCGGCGCGGCAGAACTGATGCGTCCACATCTGCCTGACTGTATAGCATTCATATCCGATGTTCATACAATGCACAAGGTGAGATCGTTTGTCAACACTTACGATTCGTATTTCTAATTTAGTGAAGATTGAAGCCCACCAGATGTTAGCCCTGCTATTTATCAATCTCTTATTGGAGTATTTACCACACTGAAAGTCCCTTAGTTGTCCGCCTCTCTCTTTTATATGCACTCGTTTATTAAAAAATATAAGTAAAAGATTATAATTCAAATTATAAGCATTATTATTATGCAATTCATAATACGTTAAAACGAATGATTTATACGACAGCAGGTGTCATTTAGACATTTCATCTAGTCATGACATTCGAGTTCATAGATACCTGCGGCCCAGAATTGTACCCCGAATACGTTCAGAATTGAAAAAAGATAGAAGCTTGGATTCTGTGCCGTGATCTACTCTTTTGACAACGCAATGTTCAACGTTTACAAAGCCATCATTTTACCAAGTTGACTCATACTAGAGTAGAGACAGTTGAAAAGGTGACACCTGTGCTATTTTGAAGGTTGACCGCGTAGAATCTTCTAATTTCGCACCCGGGATTGAATCTGTCACTGCAGCTCGACGCGAATGGCAACCATCTAATTTAAACGAGCAAAGCTCCAGGTTGTGTTTACCAACCAAAGAGAAGCAAAAAGCATAGTTTGGTTGGAGCTACAGACATAGTCAGATTAGGCTCCCAATCTACTCAAGACTCGTGGGTCGCAACCTAATATAGCAATTTTTCAGGGGAATAACGGTTTGCGGATTGCGTACCAATTGCAGTGTTCGAACTGATTAGTAATGTGCTGTAATTCAAAGTTGAACTCGACTCAATTTGACGGGCATTAACTGAATGCATCAGTCATTTTCTGCCAAGGTTGAGTTATCAAACCCGTTGGAGATGTTACTTATCGTTCATGCTAGACCATTATTAGAAAACCGCACTTTTAACGATGGCAAGAATGTGCTGCCCGTCTTGGGATCACTGCAAACGCCCTTGGCGTGGGGTATTTGTTCAGGGAATACCAGAATGTATGCTATGATTTGAAATAATCTACTAATACAATATTTTCATCCATTCTGTTCATACAACCCGTGTGCTGATCTTACAGTTGCCACAGAGTTTGTGTGACGACTGACAGAGTGCACTTTGCAGTGGTTTCCTTTTCTGGTGAGATTTACCAGCAGTTTGTACTGTTTTTGTGTATCTATTTCAGGACTGGAATCAAAAACACTCGGCTGGGGAGCCTTAACCCTAGGCTATAAAATAGACGGACGACGCATTGACTACGTGGATATCTGGGAAAAAATGTATGTACGAGTTTCATCAAACTAAGAAGACAAATGTGGGCAGAATTGATGTTGACCGTCAATTTCGCGTGCTCTCATTCAGTGAAATTGATGGCCAATGACAGTTCTGCCTTCTTGTGTTGATGAAGTGGACAAAGAAGATATGAAGTTTCACTTATGTGTGAGATCACAGACACCACGGTTCGTCTATTGTGGTTCATATGTGTCCTACGCCCTTTGTTGGCCTTCACAAAAGTTCTTTGGTAGCTAAAATGTATTGAAATGTGGGGAATAAAATACTTTCCACAGAGTAAGCACATTATATTGTATTGAAGCTTTAACGAGATACATACAAGCTTTCAGCCAAAAAATAAACCACTGTTAGATTTCTGGTAAGAAGAGGTGAAAAGTGTGACTTGAAATGTACAAAAATATGGGTTAATTACTAAGTGTATTAGAAAGCTCAAAACGAACACTTTCCTTGTCGATCAGTATCCGGGCAAGGTAGGGTAGCAAAAAACTTATCTATACAGATATGCGAGACGGGAGGGGTGGGATTTGCATGCACACAGGTCAATGTGTAAAGGATGGGTGCAATCAGATAGGATATTGTCAAAAAACTTCAAGCACGCATCAATATGGGCAACACACATATTGCCAATCAGAACAGGAAACGGAACTTGGGAGACACGGTGGATCATCGAAAGGCCACGCCTAAGCAACTCGAAATTAGCCTGCAACAAATCAGGAAAAATTACAGGGGAGCGTAAAGGGGTATAGGGAGGACATGTTGTTGAACGAAAGTGCTTATCATCGACCAGTCAGAACAGAAGTGGCGCAGCCTTCTTATCTGAAAAGAGAGTACTTTCAACTTGCGAGCAACACTTTGGATACATTGTCGGAGGGAGA